GCGCCGATCTGGTTGCCGCATTGCCCCGCCTGGATGTGGACGATCTCCCTCATGGTGCGGCCGGGCCGGAGCGGAGCGGGACGGGAGCGGGCTGGGGCCGGGAGCGGAGCGGCACCGGAGCGGAGCGGCACCGGGAGCGCGGGGGGCGGCGCGGCCGCCGCCGCATCCTTTATAGGCTCCCGCCGCCGCACCGGGCCGGCCGCTGACGTCACCGCCGCCCGCAGCCAATCAGCGGCCGCCGCCGCAGCGCCGCAACAGCCCTGCGGCACCGGCACCGCCCGCCACGCCCCGCCCGGCCCCGCCCGCGGCCACGCCCCGCCGCGGCGGAACGGGGACCCCGGCACCCGCGGGACGCACAGCCGGGGGGCACCCCCCGCACCCACCGGGAGCGGGGACACCCCGGGATCCGTGCGAGGACCCCGGGACCACCCTGCGTCGGCGGGAGCGTCCCGGAGCGGCGGGGGCGGCGGGGCGGGGGGGGACACACACGGGACACCCCTCCCAACCGCGTCCCGGAACGGGGAGGGATAGGGAGGGGGTACGGGAGAGCCGCCCTGGGCGTCCCGGGGTCGCCGGTGGCTCCCGCGGGACCGGGAACAGTGCCGGTGCCAGTGAGGAGGTGGGCGGCGGCGGGCGCGGCCCGAGAACAAAGGCGACGGTGATGGGCCCTTTGTCCCCCGCGTGGGGTCCAGCCTCCCGCCGCCCAGCCGGTCCTTCCCGGTCCCGCCGGTCGCTCAAAGGTCACTTGGTCCCGGCGGGAACCGGGAGGGACCTCTCCCCCCGGGGCTCCCCGGGGCTCCCCTATGCCAGCCACAGCGTCACTGCAAAGAGCCTTTATTGGGAACCGTGAGTCCCTCGCCCGGACCGGGCACCCCGCGGCTCGTCCTGTCCGTCCGTCAGTCCGTCCATCTGTCCGTTTCGGGGCGGGGGTGGCCGTGCCGGTACCGTGTCCCCCTGCCTACCAGGAGCACGTCACCACCTCCCGCAGCGTCCGCCGGAGCTCCTGGCTCCGGAAGGCGTAGATGAGGGGGTCAATCACCGAGTTACAGATGATGAGGATGAGGAAGAGGTTGAAGTAGCTGAAGAAGCAGGTGCAGAAGGGGTTGGTGGGACAAGTGACGATGAGGATGAGGTGGAAGAAGAAGGGCCCCCAGCAGATAAAGAAGACGCCCAGGAGGATGGTGAGGGTGACGGCACCCTTCAGGCTGCCACCGCGGTGGGCAGTGGGTGGCTTCTGCTGGCTGGAGATGCTGTGGAGGTGGTGGCGGGCCAGGGCGAACATGTGGATGTAGAGCACCAGCATGAGGACCAGCATGAAGAGGAAGAAGCCGATGAGGCAGAGGAGGATGGTATTGCTGCGGTAGTAGGTGATCAAGACGGTGCTGGAGACAGTGCTGGCCAGCCAGATGCTGGCCATGGTGACCACGGCCCGCTGCAGTGTCATGATGCTGTGGTAGCGCAGGGCATAGAAGATGGTGATGTAGCGGTCAACGGCGATGACCCCCAGGAAGGAGAGGGAAGACACGACGGAGCTGCAGATGAGCATGTCGATGACGCTGTCCATGTGGCGCACGATGCTGGGGCGCATCACCAGCACCCCGTGCTCCAGCAGCAGCATGAAGAGCATCTCCGCCAGGTTGCTGATGCTCACCAGCATGTCAGAAACCGCCAGGCAGCAGATGAAGTAGTAGGTGGGCGAGTGCAGGTTCCTGTTCTTCAGGATGGCGGCCACCACCAGCAGGTTCTCCACCAGGCTCACCAGCCCCAGTGCCAGGAACAGCTCGTTGGGAATGTCCAGCCCCTGGCACCAGCCACCGCTGGCCCCGACCGTGGCGTTGCTCTGGTTGCCCTCGCTGGCATTCGAGGGCTCGCGCAGCAGACGCAGGGGGGCCAGCGTCGACATGGCCCCCTCCACAGCCCCGGGGCCCCCCGTGGCACCCGCACAGCCCCCGAGCCCCCGTTGTGCCCCGCCAGTTCTCCCGCGGCGCCCGGCGGCGAGGCCGAGGGGATGCCGAGGAATTGGGGACGGGAGGCGTGGGATGTGCCGGGGGTGTCGTGTGCCCGCCGGGACCCTCTGGTGTGGCGGCCGCTCTCTGTGCCAGCGCTGCCCGCACCCCACGCCCGCCGGCCCAGGTTGCTGAGGAAGAAAGGGCCCTTTCTCTGCCCCACTTTAAAGGCGGCTCCCGCAGCTCCTCCTCCGAGGAGGGTGGGCACCTGCATGAGGGAGGCACTTGGGCAGTGAGGGGAGCCGCTGCTGAGGCCAGGGCTGAGAGGATGGCCTTGGGGAAGGCGATTGCTTGGGATCACCATGTGCCCAGGGGTCCCAAAGACCCTGGGGTGGTCCATGCACCTTAGGGGCGCTGCCATAGGGTCCTGTGCCCTGGGAGACCGAGCACCTTAGGGTGCCCACATGTCCTGAATCCTGGGGGGCTGCATATCTTGAGAGGCCCCCTATGCCCTGCAGGCCTCTGTGTCCCATGGGGCTCAGTGTGCCCCATGAGACTCCGTCTTGGGGGGGTCCCATCTGCCGTGGGGACCATCCACACACCCTGAGCTATCCATGCACCTCGGGGACCCCTGTAGGACCCTCTGCACTGCCCAATCCAAGCTGTCCCACGCATTGGGACTGGCAGGGGTCCCATTCCCATGGCCCCAGGGAAGATGTACAATGGGGCAGGCATGGGATGCGATAGGAATCGTCAAAGGCACAATTAAATGGGATGCTGCAGAGCCCAGCGCCGGAGGGATCCCAGGCAGGCGGGGTGAGGACAGGACCCATCTGACCATCATGTGCCTTCGGTCCGTGTTGATGCCTGGAGCCGCGCGGCTGCCAAAGAGCCATTCACAGCTCCACCAGAAAGCCGATCCCACGGTTATCCACTTCCGTTGGGAAGCCCTTCCCTCTGGCACGGATGGGAATGGCTCAGCTGCACACACTGGGCATGGGGTCCCAGGCTGCCCCCATGCCAAATTACAGGGATGGGATCCCTTGGGATTTGGATATACCAGTGGGGAATGGAGCCAGGGCAGGCTGGCTTGAGACTCGGGTCTGCACACCCGGCCAACCCACCCCAGCTACAGCCCCCCAGGGAGGCAATACAGCAGAAACAGGGATTTATTCCATGTATTCACCATTATTCTGCAAAAAAAGGGACAAAAAGATTTAAAAAAGCTTTACAGGAACAAGCAGGAGTTAAGGTTTGACTGTGGCTTACCTCGATCCTGACTCTAGAAGGTGAAGGTAAGGGAATAAATGATAGACAAACAAAGAAGGGGGGAAGATTTCTTCTCCAAACATAATTGAAAGGCTGAAAAAGCTACTCCATGCACAATTCTACTGGCACAGGGGATTGTGAGACCTTTGGAAGGTTCAGTGTAGTGAGGGTGCAGAGTATTTTGTGGAGGGAGGGAAGCTCCAGGCTATGGGAAGCACAAAGGAGCTGAAGAAGAGGGCAGCAAAACTCCTCTGGGAATTAAGGACAAGAGCCAGAAGAACAGGGAGGGGAATAGGATGGAAATTGTGTGCAGAGGAGACCAGAAGGGGACTAAGCTGCCATGGGGACAAGGGACAGCTGCTGTTGATTAGCTTGGACATGCTCAGACAGCCCTTGTCCCCTGTTAAGAGAGAGGCCCTGGCCAGGGCCCATCGCTGCGGATTCAGCCCCGCTCCCCAGATGGAGACCGTGCCATGGATGCAGCCCCCTCCTCAGAACAGCCCATTCCCACAGCCAGTCCATTTGTGTGACTTTATTGGAGTGCGACACAAATCGGGGGTGATGCCACAGGGTTTGGGGACAGACAGCCCGGGCTCAGTCCCAGTCGCCGTCACCCTCGGGATTGTCGTCACGGGGGGGCTCCTGGAACTGGATGTTGGCCAGCATGTCCCGCATGGCCGCCATCAGCCTGTTCACCCCCTGGTTGAGGTCCTGCGCTGCCCCGGCCTCGTCGTCCCCATCGTGCCGGATGTCCCCCTACGAGAGAGCAGCACTGTGGTGCCAGGGACAGGGACAACACTGGTGCCAAAGCAGCAGCAGGCTGTTGCCAGCAGTGGCTCCTGGAGCAGGAACACCATGGGGGAACGGTGCACCCAAATCCCAACGTGCGCTCACCTGCAAGTTAAAGTTTGGCAACAGCGAGCGGAAGAAGAGGGATAAAGTGCTTTCGTTGGAGGGATGGCTTGTCCTGGAAGACAGAAGTGGCACCATGGTGAAGGTACAGCTCAGTTTGTGACTCCTCAATGGGATGTGGCAGTGCTGGGAGAACCATGGTGCTGCTGGAACCAGCCCTGAGGGAGGGAACCGGGGGTTCCAATGGGATTCTGAATTCAGGCAACTCTGAGCAGCAACTGTGCAAACCAGTCTCTATGAGCATGACCAAGGCCAGGTTGGAAGGGGCTTGGAGCAACCTGGGATAGCGGAAGGTGTCCCTGCCCATAGGGGTGGAATGAGATAAGCTTTAAGGTCCTTCCAACCCAAACCATTCTAGGATTCCATGATTCTACCAGCTCTGCTCTGAGGGCTGGTGTTGAACACACCTATGGCATCACCCCAGTACCAGGACTGGCTGTAACTTAAATTTCCATTTACCCCAAACCCTCCCAGTCAGCTGTGGCCTGGGTTTTCCCTGGCTTTTGCCCTATGGCTGGGAATGGCCAGTGGTGACCACTATGGGAAGCAGCAGGACCAGTCCAGCCTGTAGCTCTGCCTGCCTGGAGCACCACAGCTCTTGCTGTGCCATGGAGGAGGATGTCAGCACC